AGCAGGCTTCGGAAGAGCTGACAAACATGATGATTCCGGGAATTCGAATATAGGTGCCGCGTAATTATACAAAGGAGCGAAAGCTTCCTGAGGGGGAGTTAGGTCCAGAGATTCGATGTTGGATGAGATAGTATAGTCGAGATTCGAAGAGAAAAATGACATGATGGTGGCATTGTCCGAGTCGGTGAGCCAGTGCTGCTCGAGCAGAGGTTCATTGAGGTGGTCCGTTGGTCGACCGTTGTAAAGAACAGAATTGGATGATCTAAGAGGAACTGGCATTGAAAAGGTGTTACCACAAAAAAAAATTATATTACGCACGAAGACATTTCGCGTTTGTTGCGGCCACTTCTGTGAGATATGGGATCACAGTAATTGTAAGAGTATTTAGGGACAGATGCACTGAAAGACACGATCTCTTATATACACCCACCCTTCAGCTTGGACACTGCGCCATTCTGGCCATGGGTGGTATTGTCTCCTATTGTGGTGTGTTGGCACATGTCAAAAATGGTCCTTTGTCCATGGCCAGAGTCGAAGGGTATTACCTATTTTGTCAAAAAACGGTTCAAGCTGCCGGGGCGCTGGAATTGAACATCAATTTTATATGTTCGGCCACTTTTTCTTGCACTGAGCGATACGACGCTTGCCATCGTTACAAGCCATATGAAATGACTTGGAAGCACTAGAGTGAGGGCTCTTGGGATGGGTGGATGAGAACGAGGACGAGGACGAGGACGAGGAGCACTAGAAAAGTGACTATCACGATCACAGGGGTGCAAATGGGTGCAACAAAGACCCTGCTGGCCAGCTTTTCTTGCATAGATGTCGAGAAGCCCTGTTTTAGGCCATTCGATGCCACGGGATAGTGGTGCAAACACTGGTCGCGACGAAAATACATTGCTAGAGCCTGTGATGTCAGGAGGCGAGTCTAGAACCATGAGATTTTAGCATTTTACAACATAAAATAACGCTTTACCGAACACTTCAAGAAAAGTATCGATATCGAAAGTTCTACGAACGGTAGAAACTACCTCGTTGAAGCCTGAGCGTGTGCCGCTAAAAAAAATCGAAGTCCGACCGGAAAAGACCAAGATTTGCCTTCGTTGGGGCAGTCCGCTAGGTGCCTCATTGTCACAGTTGCAATATAAGATACATATATCAAGGATGAGAGTTGTTCTGTAGGAGACAGAGCCGAAGGCACTGGACAAGTTACAACAGAAGCCCGGGAAGAGCCGGTCACGACTCAGACTAGTGGTCTAATGACCGTGGGAAGATGCTTTTGATTGAAGTCCGACAGCTTCATCGATTCCGCTATCCATATGTCCTATTCCAGATGTGTCGGTCTTCAGAATTGACAAGGATGGTTTACCAATGATGTCACCGGACTGCCCAAGCCTGTGTGCTATCTGCGATCTGAGGAATTGAGCAACGTATGTTGTCTTGGTTGTGCTTCTCTTATGGCGTCACTGATACTATAAGGCGAATAAGTGGATCTCGTCAACCAGTCGCAAGGAAGCTAGTTCCCTACAAACATTCGTTTAGCGGGAATTTGCGTATGAGCAACACAGATGCACCGAGTCTGTGGATACTTCTAGAGGCGTTCTTCGGCATGTTCTCTACGATGTAAGTATGAAGCGGGCGCACATATAAAACGAAGAAACCTACAACTTCCGAATTTCAATTTTCAGGGTGGGAGTCTCTAGAAATGGGCCCTCAATCAACCACTACTGGTGACCAGGTGTCTCATACTCGGGCCCTGTTGGAGCCCTTAAACCTTGTTATCGATTCAAGAATGAATGCTACCTGGTAATGTCGAGTTGATCTATTGTCCCACAACGCTCCGCTTTTCTTCATTCTGGGGTGGTGGCTCGAGTCACGGTCTCTTCTTTCGAGGCAGAATACGTAGAGCCAAATTTCATCGATGACCTACGTCGATTAACGTCAAGATAAAAGAAGCTGGGTCAATTTGGCACCCACAAATGACAACCATGACGCCAAAATTCTCTGCTTCGCCCGTGTCTCTCGATGATTTGATCGAGCCGTCTGTTCTTCAATATACAGATTCAGACTCTGCTTTGTATTGGGGTACACCACCGTGAGTCTTGCTGCTTATAAACAAGTCGCATTATTGATCTGGAGCCAGTAATTCGGACTCTGCACTTGGATTATCACCACTCATTGCTCAATCACAGAATCATGTGCGTATGATTGCCAATTTTACGGCAAAATTCCTTTTTAGTGAAATTTGCTCGCAGTCGTTTAAAAACTATAGCGATATGCCAGGTGATCAGCCCTTCGGTTTTTCGAAGTCATTCAGTGACGCAACCCAATTACCGGCGTCTCCCATTCGCCCGCCTGTTCGTCCTCGTATCTCCGCGTCGCCCGTATTCATGCCTGTCTCAAGCGATGGGCAAAGACCCCCCACGGACCTGATTTTGCTCACAGCTGACTTCATGATATTCTACGTTGACGAAGGCACTCTGTGCAGATCTTCCGGTAACAACTTCGGCGGGCTTCTTCCCGTTCAAACCGGCACCAACCCCCGTCGAGTCGTCTATCTTTCCTCTCTCCTTTCCTCCGAAGTACATGTCATGTTACAGGTAATATATGACCTCCCTTTCGACCTCCAGAATCCTCACTCTGTCTGGCAAGGCCTCTCTGGTATCAGACACGTGGTTCGTGGTATTGACCTCCTACCCCGATACGGTGTGGATCTCAAGGTGTGCGCCCACTCTGGGAGCAACATATTCAAGTGTTTGCTCACATACGCAGCCCTCTATCCCCTCGATATATACGCCCTTGCCGCACAGAAGGGTTTGCATGATCTCGCTGTAGCCGCGTCTTCTCATTTGCTTTCGATAAACCTCGATACCATGGATCCCGCAATCGCAGCTCGCATAGGCCCAGAGTATCTCAAAATGCTCCTCGGAATGTTGGAAAACAGGAAGTCGCTTTTGGGGAAGCTCCTCGCAACCGAACCGGGTCTCCACAATCCCACGAAGAATTGTGGATTTTCGGGACAAGGGATGCTGAAAGCAGAGTGGTCTCGCGCGGTTTCATCGTTGACTTGGAATATGCATGCCGGTATGCCTTAACCTGTTTCTCTTCTCACCATACCTCTAATACATGATTCCAAGGTATCACGACCAGTCAGATCAAGGAGACGTTCTTGAATGCAACCGCAAAAATTACATGCAGGGAGTGTCTGAAGGCTAGAGATGAACGCCTGCGTGCAATCTGCTCTGAGTGGCAGCTGGCTCCTGTGAGTAAAGGTGGATTTTTTTTTGGCGAAAACGCCCATTCATGCAACTCCAGCGTACGATATAGGCAGTGACAGAAGATTCTCGTTTGCTTGATTACTATCCGTTCCGCAAATCTCAACCACCACCTTGGTGGTGAAAGTCTTTCCAAAAGGCGAGGAACTTAGGCAGAGTCCTGTGACTCCGCTCGGACGCCACATTATGCTTTCATGTTGTAACATAATACATTTCATTTCATGTAAGTAACGCTGTTGTACAGTAATATACAAACCAATCGAACCTTTTCGAAACCCATGACAAGATCTAGAAAACAAGAGGAAAGCAGTTGAAGTGGAGACTTAAGGGAATGGTAGCAAGAAAGGATTGGTAGTATCGGTGTGGAAGTGTGCCTCGGATATGCAGACGGCTGAGAGTAAGGAGTTAAGCCCGCCTGTGTTCCTTCGTCTGGTATCGCGGGTGGACATCGTTGAGGTCGTTTCCTGGTGCTGCAGCCAAGGTGTAAGTAAGGCCACTGGAAATTCAACATTAGATTCACTTACCAGGTGATAGGGTTCGTTACAAAGCGTGACGGTCTTGATTTCCTCTGTCCTAATTTCATCGAGGACCTTCAGGAGAACAGTGAGTTGGTTTGCTTGAGGAGCATATAGCATAATATGCTCACCATGAAAGCTTCTGATGGGTCATTTTCGGCAACTCGTACGATGGAAGTGTCTAAATCCGTGACTATTAATCCCCTAAAGAGGGTATTCGTCGTGGGTAATAGCCTTGACAATTGAACGACGACCATATTCCCTGAAGCAATTGCGGCGGCCTGCGCCACAAATTTAGTACTCGGGAAGATAATCGAGTATGAAATATTGCTGACCAACGGAGGCAAAACAGAAAGGATCGGATACTCGGTCGACGCAATGATCAACACTACTTTTCCGCCCGATTCACCGTGTTCCATTGGTTGCTGTGCTGTTTTCCGACGAATGCGCAAGTTTGGCTGGCTTATTCTTCGTCGAACACGCTTCTTGAGCTCGTTGTTGGTCTTCTTAACTATAGACAAAGAGGCGTTCAGCTCGTTTCTGAATTTGATAGGTCAGATCCCCATAAGACTAGAAGCGAAACACTACGCACGTCGCCTCTAGTGAGCTACAGCCGGAATCAGACTGCAGAGCTTCTTGAAACTGAACCGTGTTTTCTTCAAGTAAAGTGACGAGGCGTTGAAGTTGCGATTGTCGATAGGGAATAGACTTCAGCTTGTTCATTGGTTCTGAGAGATATGTTGTCCACTGAAATCCACCAAGATGAACACCTCAGTGATCCCAGCTTGGAAAGAGAGAAAATCAACGCACCTGAGCCCCGTTCTCCATGCTGGGATCCATGACTTCCTACCCTGCAAGGGTCTGCCTATTTATCATGACGCGGTTCTGGATCATGCACTGCTTTGGAAATAGAATGATCATAAAACGTTCAAGATAGGGAACCAAACCAAGCCGCTATCGTCGAATGAATTATTCGGAACGGCTCCCTGTCTTGGCGAGACGTTTGAAATAGAACCTCGGTAGCAGGGAGGACGCCGCTTGACGGGACCCATGTAGTTTGGGTTCGTATGCCGAACGTCATGAGAGAGGTACCTGTGCGTGGTGGGGAAGATCAACCCGAAAAACACGTTCAGAATCAAACGGCATTCTTCACATATGAGAAACTGTAATCCGGATCGCTATGATGGGTAGGATTTTATAAGACTTTACGGGCCGACTAGCTCAGTTGGTTAGAGCGTCGTGCTAATATTACATATTAACGCGAAGGTCTTGGGTTCGATCCCCACGTTGGCCAGTCTCTGCCTGGGAGGGGGGGGAATATACATTTTATCCATCTACACTTATCTACTCATACATCGCAAATTCGCCCTCTGGATTTGCCCTGTCATCCGCCACTGCTGTAGTGTTCTGTGCTCAAATGCGGGGTCTGCGTCCCTTTTCCAGCGGTGGAAGTCCGGCGAGGAACAGAATAGAACTTGAATGACCAGCTTCCAGGACGTGAGCGGCGACGACATACTCGAGGCGTAGATTGTGCCGTTGTGGTGCCAGAGTCTGAGTTGGCGTCAGTGCTTGAGGAACTTCCAGTTCGATTGTTCACCTCAGGCACTGGTCCGGAGGCAGACTTGTGTGTATCAGTGGGAGACGTGTTTCTGGGTTCGGAGCCTGATTTTGATAGAGGCACTTGCTCATTAACATAGGAGCCGTCAACTGAATCGAATGCTAAGGGCATATCGCCGAGCAAGTTGCGTAGCGGGTCATGCTCAGACGATGCTAATATAGCCGAGTCCGTGTCATAATAGATGGAGGTGCAGACCGGAGATACAGAGCTCAGTACAGAGAACCGTACTGGGTCGGAGACTAAACGAAGATGTTATGAGTGCTAAGACTCTGAGATTTCAGGTCACAATTCGTACCTTTGGGGAATGGAAGGCGTGATTCGCCATTTCTCGGCTTTCGAGGCATCTGTGAAATGGGGACAAGCCATAGGTCATTGTCAACGACAGCATCGATGTCAATAGGGTCTCGTGGTGGCATGTCGCGTGTTGTATCGCGAGCCCTGTTGCAAGAGGACCGTGAAAGGGACGTGTGAGGGTATGGCAGTGGTTTAGGGAAAGAGGATGAGCATGAGCGGCTAACAAGTAATGACGATGAGCATGGTTTTCTTTTCTCAGAAAATGGGCACAACGTACATACGCGGCATGATTCAAGCTGAAATTGAGTCTAGGTCTGAAGTCGAACTGTTGAATGTCGAAGCTGCTGTACTCTGCAAGATATAGCGTTCGGACTTTGAGCCACTGGATCAAAGCACAGGGAGCCATTGTCTTTTGAATGGTAGATTGCAAGAAAAGAATCTTGTGTATGATTCCAAAAGTAACTGTTGTCCGATTGAGAGCCTGAAAGGGATCGTTCATAAGTCGTCTATGTTCAAAGAAAAAGACAGAGCTTAGCCACGCACCCCTCGACGCCCAAGGCCCTTTTCATGACATTTAAACCGGGTCCCTTGCTGGTTCTTTGCGGTGTCCAGCTGCAGGCACTTGCTCCGTGCCAACGAAAAGAGCCATCAACCTGGGAACACTCACTTGATTAGCCTTAGGACTATCCTTATGTACGAAGAAGTACCTTCCTGTGAACGAGAAAACTAACTTTCAGCGTTTTCGTGTGTATCTCCAGAGTGCAGAGCACGGTGATTAGACTCGCAGTGTTTTGGGTGCTTGACATGGATAACAATCGCTTTTTCTCGTGGCTCAATAAAGCCACTAAGTGGTATAAATCGTGTTCTTGATTCGGGAGTGATGGTAGATAGCGTTTGGGTGTGGGTATGGTGGTTGAGACGTTGACGCGTCGCCAATGTTTACGGAGGAGGATCACCTCTTGTCAGCAACCACCACGTCAACGCGTCAACAATGGCACCCTTCAAATTTCATCGAAGACAGAGATAAATGGGTGCTGAGGCACTACATAAGCCGTTTAGCCTGCTTCAGTGGAACACAAAGGAGGCGCTCATAGAGAACAAAACCCCAATGAGTTGCACTGGATAGCTGTGAGAGATTTCTTTTTCATCGTCGACCTTCTCATTAACATATATCCGGATTTAATAGAGATATACGTACGGACTGCGTACAGACATCATTAGGGGTCCAAATTTTACAGTCCTGGAACCATCTCGACTTCACTGTTCCGTCTACAGTGCCGGAAGTCACCTCGCGGCACTCCAATCCAGGAAATTTGATGGCATCGCAAAAACCTCACACTGTAAATCCACGATGCTTTCTTTCAACTTGAAAACATCACAGAATGATTGCTATAGTTCATAGCTACCTGCCGGTACCCATCACTAAGGTGTAACTTCACATCGGTTTTTTTTTGCGCGAAAAAAGTGAAACATGTTTACGTAATGTACTAAATATGGTAGGTACGATAGTCAAAAATGTGCTAGGAAGGTCCCAGAAGTGTTTTGGGGCCATTCTGAGCTTATTGGAACCCTAAGATCAATCTAGGGAGAGGAAATAAACACGAAGAAACTTGCTACAGCTAGAGGAAGACCCTGGCAGGCAGCCATCAATTGTGACGTAACACTCTCCTACCTCATCGACAGTGAGATGAGAAGTCGAGCAAGGCTCAGATTGTATGGAAATCGTGCCAGTGTAGTGAGTTTAGCGCCCATACTTTGGAAATTTTTGGGCCAAAAAAAGTGAAACACCGTGGGAAAAAACTTTTCTTTCCATAAATCGCCGTTTTTTGAGGAGCTGGGTTCGGGAAAAATAATGAAAAAATCCAGAAAAATTTTCTTTGGGTCGAAACCCATGTGTAAGAGATGTGACGTTTTGCACTGTACGCCGATGGTATCTGTGAACGTTACATTCGTTTTCGGCAACTTTATTCTTAATCCTTGTAGCTATTGTATCTTGATACTCCTTGCCGTCGAGATTCATCAGGCCGGAATCCGCGGAAAGGCGAATTTCGGGACAGCGCCCATGCTGCCCCTCTTAGACGCTGTCTGATCTCAGCCATCGTTTCCATTTTCTATCAACATACTAGTTCCGACTGGAGCCTACACCCTGAAATCCAGGTTCGAGGATAGCATCTTACTGACTGCTGACGCCAGCGCCGGCTGCGTGACGCGCTACGCGTTCACTACGAGACGCTCGATGAGTCAATCGAACACCATAAAAGCTTCGGCAGATTCGCGACCCACTGAACGATAACTTTCTCCTTCATTTCACATCAATGGGTCAACCTACAGCTGGGCCGGTTTCTCCTGGAGCTACCGGGAGTACGGTTCAGTCCCAGCAGCCCAAGAAGTCAATGCCTACGGAGACGCTTGACCTCGGGGTCTACCGAGTAATCTTCCAACAGAAGCCCTCCTACAGAAGCATGTTCAGTGCAGACAAGGTAGCCGAAGCAAAAGTTCAATTCATCAAAGCGTGGCGACTTGTCGAGCGCCTCATTCGGGAAATCGTATCGCTAGGGCCTCTACTCTTCATCTCTCTCTTGGGAATCAAGATATGGGAGGAGCTTCAATGGGTCATACTCATGCGCTTCGAGACACATGCCCTTCATGTGGTGCGTGAAATACAACTTATCATGGAACCCTCACTAACACTACCTGGTAGCTTGAAATGGGTCTTAGGGCGCATTCCGTTGATCCTTGGGCATTGGTTCGTGCTCTATTGATACAGGCATTTTGCTTGTCCGCATCTTCAGTTATAGCACGGTGGTGGTACGTATACTTTTGATTTTACCTATCTCAAATGACATGTACTGATATCCAAGTAGTCGTCGAATAGGTCCTAAGATGGAAGAAAAGGTCACGCAGTACTACGTCGATATTCTTTTCAACAGTTCGTCTCGTTGGTCGTCATAAGTGGAACATGGCTAACTGAATCCTCCAGCGAAGTTAAATATGGATCTGCCCACGTTACAAGGTGAGTTGGTTGGCTTGCACGATATTGTTATGGTTGTTTAACCAGCCTCGCAACAGCCAATACAACACACGAGCGAGTCAGTGCTGCCTTGCCCTGGCAGACATTCCAGAGCATTGTCAAGCTCTTCGCAAAGACAGCAGCGGTGATGAGCCAGATGGGCCTCGTCCTTCATCTCACACAGAATCAAGGAATATTTTTTGCACTTATCTCCATTGCTCGGCCGGTTCTTTCAATATTCTCTCAAGATGACATTTGGGCGAGACGTATGTGTCAATCTCACTCGTAATCACATCGGTACTAATACTGCACCCTAAGCCCGTGTCGTGGAGACGATCAATACAGACTATGTGCGCATGCTATCTTTACAGGCCCTTGAAGATAGGAGATATAGACATGACATTATAAGTGGCAACATCGTGCAGTACATCATCCATCGTAAGTACGAGCACCTCTCAATCTTTTATACTTTGCTCATTTGGCGTACTAGAATCCCAGAAAGCGCGTGTAGCACTGGGCGACATCTCCACGGATTATCCTGAAACTCAATACCGCGAGCTGAACTTCTCGTTAGGAAAAGATGTCCTCACTGAATTGTCTGGCATCCTACCAATGGTAATGCACCAAGTATACACGCCAGAGAGTTACTAACGTTTACATTTAGTTTTATTATGCTGTCATCGCTTTCTTACGGCCGTCCGAAATGAGTCTGGCTATGATAGCCACCCTGCAGCAGTCTTCAATGCTCCTTCGATGGTCGTTCTGCGAGATATACCTCGAGGTAGACAAGTTGCGAGAGAACCTTAGCAGTTTGCAAGAGTTCTATGATCTAGAGACTACTGTCAACGTGGTCAAGGACGGTTCCATCGCATATCCAAACGAAACCTCATCGTCAGATGGTATGTCTTTTGAGCTGAGGTACGCATGTTTGTCGGCCTGCATTTCAGCCCGTTCCTAATGTTTGCTCTAGGAACGTTACTTTCTCATATCCCGGAAATGACAGCGACACGGACCCGGACTCGGACAGCAACCCCAGTCGAAACTTGGCTCTCAATGGCGTCTCTTTTCGCATCGAGGCAGGTCAGCTAGTCGTAGTCGTCGGGCAAAATGGCTCAGGCAAATCGACGTTTATCAATCTGCTCACGCGGATGTACGACGCGACATCTGGCGAGATTCTCGTAGATGGAGAGAATATTCGACACTTCAGAGTCGATGATCTTCGGCAAGCCACTGCAACACTGGTCCAGGAGCACACCATATTTCCTTTGTCGATTGCAGAGAATATCGGGATTGGTTATCCCGAAGCTGGGATGGACCCCGAGATGATCTTGGAGGCGGCGAAAAAGGGTGGTGCTGAGGCGCTCGTCAAGAA